GGTCTTATGACACTTCGAAAGATTTTATTAACGTACTTCTCATGCATTGCATTCANATTATATACACACCACCATCTGATCAGCTGGTATACGTTGATGATTTTGCCCACATTGGCCGAGATGATATGATGGGATGCTCTCAGAGGCCTGATGATGTTATGAAACATGTACTTATGCATGACATGACATGATATTCATATACATATGCATGACACTATAATTATTTCATGATTTACAGAGTTATCAAGACTTACAGGTTGAGTCATTTACTCTATATTTCTTTCATGTCTGTTATGTACTTATTTATGTGCTTACATACTTGGTACATTATTCGTACTGACGTCCCATTTGCATGGGGATGCTGTGTTTCATGCCTGTAGGTCCCAATAGACAGGTCGAGAGCCCTCCAAGTAGGCTATCAGCTCAGCGGAAGATGTTGGTGCGCTCCATTTACTTCAGAGTTGCCTGTTTGGTTAGTATGATTTAGACATGTATTGTTTGGTATGGCGTTATCGGCCTATGTTCAATATACGAGAGGTTATTTTTGTCTTATAGGCACGTATGTCTTACGTATAAGTTGATATCACATGTTGCATTCTACTTATCTCACAGCAGCCTTTCGGCTCGGTTATCTATGATAGTATGTCATGAAAAGATACGTTATGTTAGTACTCGATTAAGTAAGGTACGGGGTACTCGTCGCGGCCCATTGGTTTGGGTCGTGATATATGCAGACCGCAAAGATCATCGTCTTTAGTGAAAAACTCAAAATAAAGTCTTCACACTCAGTTATCATACACCCACCAGGATGAAATGTAAGCCAAATGCTACAACTTTCCCACCCTTTTCATTTCTCCTACTCTCCAATTCAAACCCCCACATAGCAATTTACCCATAGTAGCCCCTAACCTAGGTTTTCAGTAGAAAGCCCTTAACCTAGGTTTTCAGTAAAATGCCTCTAACCTAGGGTTTCAGTTGAATTACTCTCGATTGATTGTCCACAGTAAGGAGTTGGGGAGATATCAATGAGAGATAGCAATGAGAGCATATGGCAATTTTCAATTGATTAAGCAAGAAAGAGGGTGGAGGTGAACATACCAAATATCAAGAGGATGGATGGTGGTGGTATGAAACACGAGCAAGGTAAGCCCCATCCTTTTCAATTCCTTATTGAATTTTTTTTTGTGTTGTTGTTTCAATGTTCTTGATCGTTTTTATGTTTTTTATGTGTTGTGCGCTTTGCCTGTGTGTGAGAATTATGAAAATGCCGGAGGAGGTTAGGGCTAAATACTTAAGAGGTTCGCGGTAAGGCAACCCATCGCATAACACATTATGCGATCGCGTATTTGTTATGCGATGGGTTAGTGACTGAGTATGTAGACCAATTATGCGATAGGTTCTGCAGTCGCATAATCGTTATGTGCACGACATATTTCACATTTTCACCACATTTTTGAAGGCTCGGATAGCATTTTTTCTACCTATGTCTGTGACCATTATGCGATCAACAAATCAATTATGCGGTTGCATATGTTGTCGTAGAACACATGTCTTGCTTTCCTTATTTTTCCTCTGCCCTTGCATCTTGTTTCATTGTATTTTGGGTCACTTGCATTCTAACACATACGTCAAACTACTCAACACTTACAACTAAACTTGCCGAAATTAAAATCTAACCAAAAAATATTACCACACATGGGTTGCCTCCCAAGAAGCGCTTGATTTAATGTCGCGACGCGACGATGTGGCCCCCATTTTGGCTAAGCTAGGTGGGGGTTGGTGTAGGACCATCTTTGAGTGCGAATTGTTCTATCAAATGCCTTTCTCCATTGGTTTCGAGGTAATGCTTGACCCTTTGGCTATTTACTTTGAAGGTTCGAGTCCCGTCCTCATATTCAAATTCAATGGCACAATAGGAAGACACATTCACAACTTTGAACGGGCCAAACCATTTGGATTCGAGTTTGCCTGGAAAGAGTTTTAGTCTTGAGTTGAAGAGCAAGACTAAGTCACCAGATTTAAATTCCCTCTTCACAATCATCCTATCATGAACAAATTTCATTCTTTCCTTGTACATGGATGCATTCTCATTGGCATGAAAATGAAATTCTTCCATCTCGTTGAGTTGTGTCAACCTTAGATTAGCAGCTTCAGTCTAGTCAAGATTTAACTTTTTAAATTCCCACATAGCTTTGTGTTCAAGCTCCATTAGCAAGTGACATGCCTTACCAAAAACCAACCGGTACGATGAGGTGCCAATGGGAGTCTTGAATGTTGTTCGATATGCCCATAATGCATCATCTAGCTTCCTTGACCAGTCAGTCCTATTTGCATTGACCATTTTTGCTAGGATGTTCTTGATTTCCCTATTGGAAACTTCAACTTGACCACTCGACTGATGATGGTAAGGGGTGGCTACCTTGTGCTTGACTCCATATTTCTCGAGCAGCCCGACAAAAGCTTTGTTGCAAAAGTGAGAACCACCATCACTAAGGATTACTCTTGGGGTACCAAACTTCGTAAATATGTTCTTCTTCAAGAAGACAGTTACACTCCTTGCCTCATTGTTAGGCAAGGAAATTGCATCAACCCATTTGGAGACATAATCTACTGCTACCAGGATATATGTCATGCCGTAAGAGCTTACGAAGGGACCCATAAAATCTATCCCCCATACATGAAAGATCTCGACCTCCATCACAAAGTTCATAGGCATCTCATGTCTTCTAGAAATTGACCCTTGTCTTTGACATTGATCACATGCCTTGACCATTTGGTTTGCATCTTGGTAGATCGATGCCCAATAATAGCTACATTCAAGCACTTTTGCCATAGTATGATTTCCACCATGATGTCCCCCAACAGGGGAGTCATGACATGCTTTAAGAATTTGAATTACCTCATCTTTCGGAACACAACGCCGAATGATGTTGTCGGCGCAAATCCGGAATAGAAAGGGTTCCTCCCAATAATATTGCCTACACTCCCGCAGGAACTTCTTCTTTTGATAAGATTCCAATCCGTCGGGGATAAGGTCACTAACCAAGAAGTTAGCGATGTCGGCATACCAAGGAGAGAAAGTGCTAGACAATGCAAATATGTGCTCATCTGGGAAGGCATCATTAATTTCAAGATCTTCTTTTGGTCTCCCTGCCTATTCAAGCCTAGATAAGTGATCCGCAACTTGATTCTCTATTCCTTTCCGATCTTTGATTTCAAAGTCAAACTCTTGTAACAAAAAAACCCACATAATCGATCTTTGTTTAGCATCCTTCTTCGCTATAAGGTAGCGGAGAGCAGCATGATCGGTGTAGACAATCACTTTGGAACCCAACAAATAGGCCCGGAATTTTTCAAAAGAATAGACAATAGCAAGCAGTTCTTGCTCCATTATAGTGTAATTCATTTGTGCACCATTGAGTGTCTTGCTTGCATAGTAGATAGGATGAAGAATCTTATTATGCCGTTGACCAAGTACCGACCCAATAGTTACACCACTGGAATCACACATGAGTTCAAATGGAACAGACCAATCGGGTGTGACAATAATAGGTGACGTGGTGAGCCTCGCTTCCAATTCCTTAAAAGCTTTGAGGCACTTCTCATCGAGATCAAACTTTGCATCTTTTTCAAGGAGCTTGCACATGAGACTTGCAATTTTTGAGAAGTCTTTGATAAATCGCCTATAAAAACCGGCATTCCCCAGAAATCTCCAAACACCCTTTACTGAAATTGGAGGAGGAAGTTTGGAAATAATCTCGATATTTTCCCAATCAATCTCTATACCTTGCTTGGAAATTTTGTGGCCAAGAACAATACCTTTGTCCACCATGAAGTGGCATTTTTCCCAATTTAGCACAAGGTTGGTTTCCTTGCATCTTTTGAGCACTTGCCTAAGGTTGTCAAGGCAATGCTCAAAGGAATCACCAACTATAGAAAAGTCATCCATGAACACCTCTAAGAAATCCTCCACCATGTTCGAGAAGATTGACATCATGCATCATTGAACATTAGCTGGAGCATTGCATAGCCCAAATGGCATCCGGCTAAAAGCAAAAGTTTCATACGGTCATGTGAATGTTGTCTTCTCTTAATCTTCTAAGGCAATTTTGATTTGGTTGTAGCCAGAATATCATCCAAGAAGAAATAAAATGACCTTCCTGCTGGCCGATCAAGCATTTGATCAATAAAAGGCATAGGGAAATGGTCCTTGCAAGTAGCACGATTGAGCTTCCGGTAGTCCATGCAAACTCTCTACCTAGTCACCGTCCTCATTGGGATGAGCTCATTTTTATCATTTTGAATCACGGTCATGCCTCCTTTCTTCGGCACATATTGCACCGGACTCACCCATGGACTATCGGTAATGGGGTAGACAACCCCGAAATCTAACCATTTAATGATTTCTTTCTTCACCAGCTCTTGTATGGAAGAATTTAACCTTCTTTGATGCTCCACACTAGGTTTGCTTTCTTGCTCCAATTGTATCTTGTGCTCAGAAATTCCAGCCGGAATCTCTCTGATATCTGCTATTGTCCACCCAATACCATGTCTGTGCTCCCTCAAGATACTCAACAGTTGTTCAACCTGCACATCATTCAACAAAGAATAAATGACTACAGGTAGGGTGTCATTAGAGCCAAGAAATTTATACCTTAAGTTCAGTGGGAGTGGCTTGAGCTCATATTGTGGCGGCTCGATAATTGAAGGCTTAGCGGGAGGTGTGACTCTATTCTCTAAGTCAAGAGAAAGTTTCTTTGGTGCATAAGTGTAGGACCCAAGCCCTTCCAATGCATTCATCAATTCATGGTATCCTTCCATATCTTCACCATTAAAGTTTACCAAGATAGCCGCCAATGCCTTACCAAGGCATTCCTCTTCCATCTTCACCTCGACTGCATCCTCTACCTCAACAAAACCTCAATGACTAATATACTTTCGTATGCATGTGGCAATTTCATGCCCTTACTCGCTTGAAAAGTAACCACTTCGTCATTAACTCAGAACTTGATCTCATTTCGTTCCGAGTCCATGATTGCTCTTTTGGTAGCAAGGAATGGTCTCCCCAAGATAATAGAGATTTCGTTATCAACAACACAATCGAGGATAACAAAGATGGTAGGGAGGAGGAACTTCCCCACTTTCACAAGGACATCATCAACAATTCCCACCAGTCTCTTTATTGAGCGGTCGGCCATTTGCAACCTCATACTTGTAGGCCTAGGCATACCTAACCCCGCTTTCTTGTAAATAGCAAGAGGCATTAAGTTGGTGCTAGACCCATTATCACAAAGGGCTCGTGCAAAATTGTGCAACCCAATAGTGCATGGAATGGTGAAAGCTCCCGGGTCCTCTTTCTTTTGGACCGTGGTTGTTGCAATGATGGAACTAACCCGGTGAGTTACATTTACCACTTCATTCTTGGTGATTCTCTTTTTAGTGATTAAGTCTTTTAAGTACTTAGCAAAACGTGATATCTCTTGAAATGCTTCCACAAATGGAATGTTTACCGAAAATTGCTTGAGAATGTCATAGAACTTTTCGAGTTTGCCATCATCAACCCTCCTAGCAAGTCTTTGAGCGAAAGGAGGAGGAGGCCTAGGAATTGGTGCTAGATTTTTTGGTGCCTCTATTACATTTTCCTTAACCTCCTCATGGTTCACTTCTTGAGTTCTCACCTTCTTCGGGAGTCTTTCAACTTCAACAACAATTGGCACCTCAACTTTTGCTTTGACTTCTAGTTCAAAATCTTCCACTTCAACTAACTATTCATTCTCTACTTGAATTAGTTTCCCACTTCGAGTTGTGATTGCCATACAATGCGAAGTCGGACCACTCACACTACCTTTTGGGTTCACCATTGTGTCACTTAGGAGCGTGCCCTTCTGCTTTGGATTTTGCTCTCTTGATAGATCTCTCATTTGCAATTCTAAATTTTGTATGGATGCGGTATGAGAACCCACAAGCTCGGTCATATTCTTCATTGAAGTGTCAGATCTTTCTTGATTTTGCAATACTCGTTCAAGCATGTTTTCCATCTTGGACTCACTTGAAGAACTTCCCTTCTAATGCGGAGAGTTGAAATATTGTCCCTTTGGTGGAACATAGGGGTTTGAACTCCGATTTGAAAAGTATTTGCTATTGTTACTCCAATTCATTTGATTTGAACTACCTTGGTCGTTTCGCCACTATTGATTGCCTTGCCCTTGCGGGTTAGACCTCCATTGGTTTTGTTGTCCGAAACCTTGGTAGGATTGTCTTTGATAACCTCATTGAGAGTTGTTGACATAATTTTCTTCTTCGTAGTCCTCATTTGACATGGGCTTACACATCTTCCACCACGTTCACCTTTTTTGTTTGGCTTTCAGTGAACATCTTCTTCAACACATTGACGTTGGTGTCAAGCCCGACAATTACTTGATCTCTTTCTTGGTTCTCCTTAATCATATTGGTCAAGGAAGGAATGCCATATGCAATTCCACCCGTGGTGTCCTCTGAGTGCCAAGCTTGGTTATGTTTTTCTATTTTGTCAAGGATTTGTGACCTTGCAAATGATTCATCCATAAAAGATCCATCAGCTGCATTTTTTTGCTATAAATTGATTCATAGGATCCAAAGCCCATGTAAAATTTCTCCAACAAGATAGTATCCGGAAAACCATGATTCAGCAACCTCACTAAATATAGCTTGAATCGATCCCATGCCTCATGTAGATTCTCTCCCGGTAATTGCTTGAAAAAGAAAATTTTATCCCGGAGCTCAGACTTCTTGCTATGCAGAAACCATTTTGCTAGGAAAGCTCGGACAAGATCGGGCCAAGTATGAATGGAATTAGGTGGTAGATATTGGATTCATTGTCTTGCCTCTCCAGTTAGAGAGTACTTGAACACCCTCAACCTTAGGGCCTCATCTGAAACGTGATTCTACTTGTGCATCGTGCACACACCCAAGAAATTTCTGAGATGTTGTGTCGGATCATCATCTGTGGAATTTCTGAAAAACCCCTCTGTCTTGAGCATTAGGATTAGACTATGTTCCACCTTGAAGGTAGGAACATCAACTCTTGGAGGGACAATGGCATTTGTATCCTCAATATACTTATCTATATCCGCAAAAATATTCTCTTCTTCCGGCTCGCCCATGTTTACCTAGTGACACCAAGCAAAGCAAGCAAGGTGTGATGGAATAGAAGAAGATGTAAAGTAAAGCACACATTAATTAGTAATTTCATAACCGTACTCCCTGGCAACGGTGCCAAAATTTGATACGCTCAAATTACACTTAAATAAATAGTGTAAGGCGGTCGGTGTCAAATATAATAACCCAACAAGGTTGAGGTCGAATCCCACAAGGAATAGGTGTGAAAAGGTTACTTGAATAGTGTGAAACTTGACTTAAGTCGTAATTCTACTCTGTTAGCTTAAAAAGAGAAGTTTGTAATTGTGAATTAACAAGATAACTATTTTGTAATGAGACTGTAATTAATTTGGTTAAGAAAACCAAGGTTGTGTCCCTATCAATGGAAATTAATGTTATCGGTGTTAATATGATATATTTCTAATAGAAGGTCCTTTGATATGCAAATAGTTCCTACATGACTACCCAATATTTCCCAATAGTTAGGTAGTATTTCCTCTTTATAATTTTCCCAAATATAAAAGAGTTGCAATTAAGGACAATCAATTTATTTCAAATAAAACCTACTTATTCCTAAGTGATTCTGTTAAACAAGGTTTAAAGCCTTGAGTTTTCATTATTCAATTCTACCAAACCCTAACCCACTTTTCCAAGTAAAGATAGAGTGAAATGGCATTAGTCAATGTTTGCAACCATCAACATTAAATGAAGCATGAGAAATGAATAAAAACCAACCAACCATTATATGTATGTATGTATATATGTACATATATATATATATATATATATATATATATATATATATATATATATGTATATATATGTATATATATATATATATATATATATATATGTATGTATATATATATATATACATATATATATATATATACATATATACATACATATATATACATACATATATTCAATAGTAAACACCCATTAACATTACACCCATTTAAGGTCCACAACCTTAGTATTTAAAGCTAGCTACTCATACAAGAATCCAAGAACAAAGCAATAAATAAAGTCATAAAGCTTACAAAGATGACAAGATTCTCTTCTTCAAAAGCTTGCAAAACAATGGTGTATTCAATGCTTCATTTTCAGACAAGATGCCCCACAAAACCCTAGTTATTCTATTTATAATAAGCTAAAAGTCGGGGTCAAGATATGACAAAAATACCCCTGCAGATCACATCTATGGCTGCAGAACAGCCGTAAAACACTTTTTCTGTCACGACGCCGGTTCGCCCTCCATGAACCATCATGACAGCACCTAGTCTCTACGACTAGGTAAGCCTAACAATGCGGAAAGTAAACCAATTTGTAGAAGAAACAATTAAAACCAAAATAATGAAATAGAACAGCATTTTAAAAGTGCCGCTCGGCATACACGATATCAACTCTCAAAAACTAATACACTTTCCCAAAATCCGGAATCTCATGAAACCACAAGCCTTTGAATATCTACCAGTGTCTATCTCCAGAATATCTAACAAAGGAAAGAAATACAGAATGGCTAATATTTAAAAGAGAGAATAGAAAGGGACTCCCCGGTCTACGGATGCGGTAGATTTACCTCGAAGTCTCTGGAGCAGTCGCCTCGCCTCAAGGGTGATAGGACTAAGTCAAAGTACCATGATCTGCACATGAAAAACATGCGTAGAAATGGCATGAGTACACCACAGCGGTACTCAGTAAGTACCAAGCCTAAGCTCGATCGGGTAGTGACGAGGAAGGTCAGGGCCCTACTGAGGTTAAATAAAATATAAGATTCAACAGTGTAGAAATAAACAGCATAAATAAGTATAACAGTAAAAAAAATATCACAGGATATGAAGGACAACAATAACTACTACCGAGGCAAAGTAAACATAGAAGAGAAATACAGCTCAACTCAAAGATAACAACCGGGAATCTCCCAGGATACCGTCCTGTAGTCCCCAAATATAAATATCCAGTGGATCTCCCAAGATACCATCCCGTAGTATATCATATATATCCGAAGGATCTCCCTGGATGCCATTCCGTAGTCCAAAATATAAATACCCAGTACTGGGGGAATCTACCGGGTGCAGTCCCATAGTTCCATATAATTGTGCAGGGGGATCTACCGGAATCCAACATCCGTAGTCCCAAATTTAAACAGACAAGGGGGAGCTACCGGAATCCCACATCCGTAGTCCTAAACGTAAATACACAGCAGCAACAGGAAAATATTCAACAAATGTCAATTTCATATTAAGGCAAACAAGTGCTCCTAGCCTAGCATGCTGCACAAAATTCAGGTAAAGCAGTTTGAGCAAATAAGCAATTAAATCACTTAGACATGCTTTCCTAAGCTAACAACAGGCTTAAAGTGCAATTAATATAAACAGGAAAGAAAACATACTAGTAATTACTTAATGAAAAATCGGATTTTCAACAATTACCACAAGTGCGCACTTGTCACCTCACGTACAAGGCATTTCAATTATCAATAATACCAAATCCTAAGGGGAAGGTCCCCCACAAGGTTAGGCAAGCCACTTACCTCGAACCGACTCAAAATCAACCCGAGACCACGTTCTTGCCACAACTACTCGACTCCAAATGGCCCAAATCTATTCAATTCAATTGTATAATGTAAATAACACTTCAAGTAACTGATTCTACAAAGAAATTCTAAGCTAATATACAAAATTAGGTAAAATAACCAAAATGCCCCTCGGGCCCACATCTCGAAATTGGGTAAAATTTATATTTCCAGAATCCTCACACTCTCACGAGTTCAGTCATACCAAAAGTACCAAAATCGGACCTTAAATGGTCCCTCAAATCATCACTCAAAGGTCTCTAATTAATCAAGCCTTAACCCCCAAGTTACCGCTGATTTTCTTTAATTTTTCATGCTTATAATGATAAAAATCACTCCAATAACGAGTTTAGGGACCAAAAACCTTACCCCAATGAACTCCTCTGAAAAGCTCTCTTGAAAATGCTCCCCAAGCATTCTTCCCGTTGAAAAGAGGTGAAAAATAGCTCAAATTCGCGAAGGCAACAATTTATATGTTTCTGCCCAGCTAATCCGCTTCTCCGGTCAAGGGACCGCACCTGAGGTCCCGCTTTTGCGGACCAATGGTTGCATCTACAACAATCACTAACTCAGTCTTTTTCCGCACCTACGACTCCTCATCCGCAGATGCGGTACCGCTTCTGCGGCTCCTGCTGTTCCTCCCCATTTTCGCTTCTGCAATGACTCTGCCGTTTTTGCGGCTCCGCACCTGTGGAACCCAACCGCAGGTGCGGTTATGACATAGATCAGCAGCTTCAACTACTTCAAACCACTTCCAACTCTTCCGACGACCATCCGAAATCATCCCGAGGCCTCCAGGACCTCAACCAAAAGCACAAACAAGCCTAATACCACTGTCCAAACTTATACCAATCCTTAAAATACCTAAAACAACAGCGAAACGACGAATCAACCACGGACTCAAGCCTAAGAACTCAAAAACTCTAAAAATATGCTTTCGATCAAAAAGTCTATCAAACCTCGTCTGAATGACCTGAAATTTTGCACACACGTAACATTCAACACTACGGAACTTCTCCAACTTCCGAAATTTCATTCCAACCCTCGGATCAAAATCTCACTATCGAACTGGAAACTTCAAAATTAGACTTTCGGCATTTCAAGCCTAAATTAGCTATGGACCTCCAAACACAATTCGAACACACCCCTAAGCCCGAAATCACCCGTCGGAGCTAACGGAACCATCGAAATTCTATTTCGAGGACGTCTTCACACTGTTTCGACTATGGTAAAATTTCCACACTTAAGCTCTCATTTAGGGACTAAGTGTCCCAAAACTCTATGAAACTCAAAACTGAACATCCCGGCAAATCAAAATAGTAG